TTGCCCAACTGGCATGGCTCAGTAGCGTTCCAGATATAGCTGAACCAGGAGGTCCTGGTTCGATTCCTGGTCAGGGCACATGCCCGGGTTTTGGGTTCAAGCCTCAGTAGGGGTGTGCAGGAGGCAGCCGATCAGTGATTCTCTCTCGTCATTGATGTTATCTCTCTCTTCTCTCTGAAATCAATAAAATATATATATACATTAGTTTTAAAAGCACCTTTTCCTACATCTTCAGTTCTTCTTCACTTCATTTATCTCCTCTCATTTACATAAAACAACAACAAAAACCTCCGTGTGCTTTCTGGACTGTGGAATGCTGCTCTAATGATTTTCCCAGAGAAATTACAAGCTCATAAGGAAAAATAAGACAAGTGGGGACACTAATAACCATGATACCGGATGTGGGACGTGCCCTCAGAAATACTGACCCCCCCCCCCCCCGGGGGCACTGTTGGGGACCCCTTGGCCCTCCTGTGGCCACGTGGCAGGACCTGTCACCTGATACACCTGTGTCCCTCCAGGTGGACCTACCATGATTTCTTCAACCGCTATCGGATGCTGATCAAGAAGAGAGAGCTCGCCAGCGGGGACAAGAAGGCCATCTGCAGGTCTGTGCTGGAGAGCCTCATCAAGGTGAGCCGGGCGGCCGGGCGGCCGGGCTCCGGGGGAAATGGGACGCTGCGAGATGCGGAGGGTGGGGTGGGGTTACCTGCCTTTTTGGGTTTTCATCCTTCTCATTGGAACTGATTCCAAGAGGTGAGTCCATTTTCATACATCAGTGACTGAGGAAAAGCCCCCTCACCTACCCGGGGTACATCCTGGCTTTGCTCACAGCCGCCCACACAGCGTCCCTCAGCCCCCTGGGCGAGCGCAGGGAAGGGCGACTGATTCTAACATAAATAGATGCAGTTAGGACAGTAATTACACGTCCTGTGTCCCCCCGCCCCAACATTTCATATAGTTTGAAACCAAATAAAATTGACTTGGGGAATATGTGCAATCTGAAATTATTTGATCAACTCTGGCCATTTGGGGCTAATCTTTATAAAATGTCAACCAGATTGGGCCCTTCCCTTGCTTAGAGCCCCCTTCCCCCCCGCCCCCAACACTCTGGCCTTTGGTGGTTGGCTCCTCCCACCACCCACCCTCACTCCCCACCAGTCACACCAGCTCTCCCGTCCCTCCACCATGCACAGCTTGTTGCCACCACAGACATTTGCATTAGCTCTGCTCTCCCAAACTGTCCTCCTCCAGGCTGCCTTCCTCTGTTCCTTCAGGTCTTTGCTCCAAGGTCACCTCTGTCGAGATAGCTGACTTGGTGACCCTGTTTAAACAGCCCCATCCCCCCTCCCAACCCCAGCTCTGTCTTTCCCATCCTCACCTGAACACATACCTGGTCTTTGTCTGTCTGCCCTCACATGCCAGTTGCTTGAGGGGCAGGCGTCTTGTTCAGTCATCCTGGACCCTCGCCCAGGGCCCGGCCGTGGGTTACGTGAGCGCTGAGTGACTGTGGGCTTACGGAGCAGGGCCCGGCCGTGGGTTACGTGAGCGCTGAGTGACTGTGGGCTTACGGAGCAGGGCCCGGCCGTGGGTTACGTGAGCGCTGAGTGACTGTGGGCTTACGGAGCAGGGCCCGGCCGTGGGTTACGTGAGCGCTGAGTGACTGTGGGCCTACGGAGCAGGGCCCGTGAGCTCCGCCCGGGAATTCTGCACGGGAGGGCAGTGGTGGGCATGTCACCTCGTTGCTCCCTGATGGCGAGCCCGCTGCCCTCCTTGCCTTGAAAGGACCCGGACAAGTTCCAGTTTGGCCGCACCAAGATCTTCTTCCGGGCGGGCCAGGTAGCCTACCTGGAGAAGCTTCGGGCCGACAAGTTCCGGGCAGCCACCATCACGATCCAGAAGACCGTCCGGGGCTGGCTGCAGAGGGTGAAGTACCGCAGGTTGAAGGGGGCAACCTTGACGCTGCAGAGGTACTGCCGAGGACACCTGGCCCGCAGGTGAGCCACGCTGGGGCCCCTCTGGGCAGCGGCTTGCGGGTGAGCGGCAGGGGCCCGGGACCGGCTCTCTTAGCTGGGCGGCCTCTCTAGGCCTCTGTCCTTAGAGAGGTTCCTGCTGGGCCCGGACCGCACCCTGACTTCTTCCCAGCAGCTGGGCCCCCCTCTTCCACGCCCCTTCCACCTGAGGGAGTAGGTCTAGTTCCCAGGTCTCCTGCCCACCTCCCCCTCCCCCACCCCTGGCCTAGCCATCCCCCCAGTGCTAGCCTAGGACTGGCTGGTTGTACCCCCAAACTACCACTTTCCTTTTGCTTAAGCTCCAAAATGAAATGATCTTTTAGAAACAGCAGTAAGTTCAGCCTTTCTGTCAGTTGGCTTACACTCTGCTTCAGGTTTACACTCACAGTTTCAGACGCCCCTGGGAGTTTAAAAGTCAGGCTGGCAAGTCCTGGGGCCCCTTTGAGTTGCTGCGCTGAGTCAGCATCGGAGGGTGACTGTAACCACAGGCCGCCCAGCTAACGCCTGCCTGGAAGCCTTCCGCTCTGAAATGCTCCCCCCCTGACGGTGTCACTGGGCGAGGGTCTGGACGTCGCACTGACACGGACTCGCAGGAGCAGCCAGGGACCTTTGCCCTCGGGGTCTCCCTGGGGAAGTGGCAGTAATTGCCGTAAGGTCTTGTGTTGGAAGGCAATACAATGGGGTCTCCTCTGTTGGAATATGAAAATGATGAGCCCCTGAGTCACACGCCCAGAGCAGGGTCCTTTGTATCGTACCCCCGGAGGCTTGCTGCTACTCACCCTCTGGTCCGGTGGGGGGCTGTGTATTCGAGCATAACAAGAGGCGGTGAGGCCTCTTGACCTCCACACAGCTGGGGACGACCTCGGGGACAAAGCTGTAGAGTGGGAGGACTGTCCGTGGTAGCAACACTGAGTGACCACGGTCACCTGTGCCACCCGTCCTCACGGACAGGCCTGCGTGGCTCTGCCTGAGGCTGTGAGCTCGCTGTGGGGACTCCGTGCTAGTGGACACGCAGGCCCAGCCACGCGGGGAACCTGGGGGAGCTGGGAGTCAGGCGCACCTCAGGCCATAGGGCTGCGTTAGGTAAGTCCAAGTCCCTCCAGCTGTAATATTCTGAGTCTCCTGCTGAGGGCTGGCTGTGAGTCTGTCCCCAAGCCCTTCAGGAGGTAAGAAACCTTAGACCAGCGGTTCTCAACCTGTGGGTCACGACCGCTTTGGGCGTCGAACGACTCTTTCACAGGGGTCGCCTAAGCCCATCGGAAAACACATATTGAATATATAATTACATATTGTTTTTGTGATTCATCACTATGCTTTAATTATGTTCAATTTGTAACAATGAAAATACATCCTGCATATCAGATATTTACATGACGATTCATAACAGTAGCAAAATGACAGTTATGAAGTAGCAACGAAAATAGTTTTATAGTTGGGGGTCACCACAGCATGAGGAACTGTATTAAAGGGTTGCGTCATTAGGAAGGTTGAGAACCACTGCCTTAGACTGATGTTCTGTGTTTTGGCGGGAGGGGTGGGGGAGGGTGGTAGAGGGGAGCGGAAATGCAACAGCAAAGGCAGTGTCCACGTGCTGTGCGACCCAGGCAGAAAGGGCTGGGGGACAGGAAACGGGCAGCCTGAGACGGTCCTGTCCATTCAGCAAACCTTTCCCAAGTGCCAGCCAGGCCAGGCCCTGCACTAGATGCAGGGGGTGCAAGGACGATTGAGACACGGCCCCTGATATCTCCAGTCCTGGTGAGCCCAGGGCACAAAGAGACAGACAGACATGCAAACCTGATGTGCCCAGGTGGCAGCGAGGGGCTTGCAGGTGGGGAGTGGGCAGGGGAAGGGCACAGGTGGTCAGGCTGACAGTTTGGGCCTTGTGGGAAGACTTGGAGTTACAAGGAAGAGGCTAATTCTGTTCTGAGCCTGCACGTCCAGTGCCCAAGGCATTGCTACCATCAGTCAGAGAGGAGACCTGGCTTGACCTGGGGTGGTGACCTTGACCCAGGGGGAAGGGCTCCGTTCAGAACCAGCTCAGGCGCCCTGTCAGCAGGCCCACCCTCTCCCTCCCCAGGCTGGCCGAGCACCTGCGGAGGACACGGGCGGCCGTGGTGTTCCAGAAGCAGTACCGCATGCGGAGGGCCCGCCTGGCCTACCGGAAGGTCCGCAGAGCGGCCATTGTCATCCAGGCCTGCACGCGGGGCATGTTCGTGCGGAGGATCTACCGCCAGGTGTGTGCACGCTGGGTGTGACTCAGACCTCAGCCTCAGCAGATGAGTTGTCACCACCATGAACGCTGGTTTTTCCTAAGTAATTTCATGACTCTGTCCTCACGGAGCCCTACCCAGAGTCCCATGAGGAGGTGCACTGGCCAGGGTTCTCCAGAGAAATAGAACCAATAGGAGATATGTGCATGCGTGCGTGCGTGTGTGTGTGCGTGTGTACATGTGTGTGCACTTGTGTGTGTTGCATGTGTGTGTGTGTGTGTGTTTGAGGTTTGGCTCAGTGATTGTGGAGGCCGGCGTCTCACTGCAGCTGAGACCCAGGGGAGCCGGCGGCGGCATTCAGCCAGGTGTGAAGGCCTGAGAACTAGGGAAGCTCTGGTGCAAACCCCCCTCTGGGGCAGGAGAAGGTGAGATGTCCCAGCTCAACAGTGAAAAAGGAACAGATTCTCCATCCTCTGCTTTGTGTTCCATTCAGCCCTCGTGGATTGAGGTGACCACCCACACTGGGAGGCAGTCTGCTGAGCCCACCTTCTCAAATGCTCACCTCTCTGGAAACACCCTCGCAGACACACCCAGAAACAGTGCTTAACCTGGGCTCCCACGGCCAGGTGACACAAGATGCACCACCACAGCCAGGAAGGGTGCACACCTGTGTACCCCTCCCCTCCGACAGCCGAGATGCTTGGAGAAGCTGAGTCACCTCTCCCCCAACTCCCCGGGACACCCAGCCTGTAGCAGAGCCCGGTGACCCATCTTGGGCTCGCTCAGGCGAGAGCGGGGTGATAGGCATCATCAGGTCTAGATCCTCTATTAACAGATCAGGAGCCTTAAACCCAGCAAGACGCGGTCAGGAGAGGGACCCTGACCTCCTCCCCGCCAGGCCATGACCCAGAGAGGCTGAGCTACCTGGCTAGGTGGCCCCAAGTCCGAGCGTGTCCGTCCACCAGCTCACCCCCACACCTGTGGTTTGACAGCCACCTCCCTGCAGGCATGCAGGCTGCGGACCTGTTCATTAAACAAACAGCCGTGAAAGCTTGAGCCCGAGGGAGGCCTGTTCTCTGTGCCTCCTAAAACCTAGGCTGACCGCGGCTCCACCCCACCTGCCCGGGTTCTGCATGAGCCTCTCTTGCTCCCGTCCTGCAGTGGGAACCCACAGGTGTGTGCTTGTCCCCTGCCAGGTCCTCCAGGAGCACAAGGCCACCGTCATCCAGAAGCATGTGCGGGGCTGGGCGGCGCGCAGGCACTTCCTGCGGCTGCGGGGTGCGGCCATCGTCATCCAGTGCGCCTTCCGGAGGCTCAAGGCCAAGCAGGAGCTGAAGGCCCTCAAGATTGAGGCTCGCTCAGCAGAGCACCTGAAGCGCCTCAACGTGGGCATGGAGAACAAGGTGGTCCAGCTGCAGCGGAAGATCGATGACCAGGTGGGTGCGGGTGGTGGGTGCTCCGGGGGCAGGTGTGACCGGGACCCACGGTTCCCTCGGGGAACCACATGCCAGGGAAGGACCCAAGAGCGGGCATGGTCCCCAGGGCGTCACCCTCTCCGCAGGAGTGGCTACGACTATGGCAGGCAGACTAGCAGCCCCGGGGATGTCCACGTCCTAATCCCCAGAGCCTGTGTCACCTTACAGAGCGAAAGATGAGGCGTGGAAGGGTGCACACACACCCATGCACCCCCCTTCTGGTGTCCGAGTGGCCAGTCTTCCTCCTTCTCTCTTCAGAGCAGCTTTATGGACTGTTTCTCGTACTCCGTTGGGTAGGTGAACAGAGGGTGACTTGGACACGTTGGATGCTGGGTTATGAGGGAGCAGTCTTGTGCCGACGGAGCCAACAGCCCCCACTGCCCTCGGGACTCTCTGGTCACCTCCCACGTGCCAGGCCCTGGGATGGGTGTTTTATGTTCCCTCTCATCTGATCCCCACACAACTCCGTGAGGTCATTTTACAGATGAGGAAACTGTGGATCAGGGACATCGAGTACCTTGCCAAGGTCACAGAATTAGCAAGCTGTAGAACCAGCATTTCCACCCAGGTTGGTCGGATCCCACAGCTGCGAGGGTGAGGCTGATCTTTTCACCCGAACGTCACTCGGCTTCAGGCCTTCCCGGTGGCAGTGAAAGTGGGCTCACTGTTACTGTGCTCGTGCGGGGTGTTAGGGCGGCCACAGGACCAGGCTCCCGCAGTCCCCCGAGAAGGGAGGGGGAGAGAACCAACCAGTGCGCATGGTGTGGGGTGTGGAGGAAGAGGGGGAGTTAGAGCTGGGGCCACCGGGCATTGCTTTGGAGGCCACTTGGTTTTATTGTACCTTCCCTACGGTAAGTATTTTTAAGCTTCTCATGACCCCAACAGGACAAGAAAATAAATGAGCTATTTACACCAGTCAGCTGCCCAGAACAAGAGCCCAGAAGCAGTGCAGAGAGCAGTAAAACGTGCCTGCTTCTCTGCTTGCAAAAAAAAAAAAAAAAAAAAAAAATCTGACAAGAGACTGTATGTTTCTGTTCTGTGTGAGTTTCACTGGGTGTCTGGATTGGCAAGCAAGACAGAAAGCTCACATGGGTGGAGGACACGCGGCACCTGCCTGCCGCGATATGCCAGGTGGGGAGAAGCGCCTCCACCTGGGGGGACAGGGGTGGACAGGAGGGGGCAGGTCCCTGGGACAGGCCATTGGGAAAATGCCAGCGCAGAGAAGACCCCGTCTCTCATCGTTGACCACGTTTTCCATGATTGCTATTGTGTGTTCATCTCTAACCAGAAGAGATAATTGGGTCAGATTTTGCCAGTGAACCTTCTGAGCAAAGTATAGTCCGGGGGACAAGCAGGCTTTGCTGGCGCGGCCGCACCCTGCCAGGAGCCCTGGGCACTGCCGGCCACCTCCCCCTGGGTTTCCAGGAGTCAGCCCTGCACTTGCGTTGCTGATTTCCAGAGTCGACTTGAGAGGTTAAAAATAGAGCTGGTATTTTACAGTTCACGTGCTTGAACATCCAAGGGAAGCAGATTTAAAAGGCCTATTTTTAAACAGAGCTTTTGCCCTGCGATTCCTGCTTGGCAAGCATCTGCGAGTGGTGGCAGGTGTTACCTCCCTGGCAGGGTGCCTGTGTGCAGAGGGTGGTCGGAGGAGAGGGGGAGGGTG